TGCTATACATATCCCTATATACTATTATGTGTAATGTGAATATTTAACTTAACTAATAATTTGCAGTTGAATTGCGTCTAGAAATTGACCTCGATGAAAATATATTTTCTTTTATATTTCTCGCTAATTAAAAAGTAGTTATTAGTGCAAAATCATTTCTCACAAGTTGTGAAAAATTTTGTTATTTGGTATATAAGAACAGTTCGCTTCTAAACTTAAAGTGTTATAAGTGTGCGTTTCTACGTGTACACAGAGAAAAAAGAATAGTTAGGCTAACTGAATAAACTAAGCACTAAGCAGCGTAGTGACATGTACTACTCCGTCTAGTGACAGTGGGTTTTGTGAGCCTAACTAACTGGCGTAGTAAAACATACTACGCCATTATTTTAGTTTTACTACGATGGGTAGTAAAGAACACTACGCCTTTTAGTAACTCTTACTAAATATCGAGGTGAGTCTTACTGAAAGGTGCAATAAAACATACTATTTTGCTCGGTCAATTTGACTACGATTCTTAATTAAAAACACTACGCTGCTCACTTAGTATTACTAATTAACGTAGTTCGAGCTACTGAGTTTTTAGTTTAATGCTTCCAAATAATATAGTTAAAGATACTACTTATGTAGTATTCGCCATAGCAACTGAAATAAAACATGGTACATTGTGTAAATAATAAAAGCATATTTATATTAATAATAATATAATTTATTTTGTACATACATATATATAATGTTGTTTTCAACATATTAAATCACGTATTTTGAAAAAGAATAACTTAGCAATCCATTTTTTAAATTTAATTTAAACCATTTTCACAAAATTCATAATACACACACTTTTAATTGCTTCACAAATAAAAACATAGTCTGTAGAAAAACTTTTCTTCTTTAGCAGAAATAAATAGACACTATATACTTTGAATAATATTTCTTTCCAAATTTGAACTAATTAGAAATAACTAACTTGATTGGAAAAATCTCACAGTCCATGATTCAAATATAGTAATGTTTTACTAATAAAATACTTAATAGTAATTAATTATAAGTTAAATTTACACTTTCACATTAAAACACTGGTAATATTATAAATTTATTAAAGCTTAAATATACTTTGCAACAATTCACTGTGAAAAATAAGACTTGAATCTACGCAATATCTACCACTGAAGTTTGAAATATAATGTTAGGCGAAAGAATTCTAAGGGCTGAATAAGGAGAATATGAAGAAATGTTGACAGGAAAAATGTCCTTTCACTTTCCGTAATTAACCGAAAATGCACGAAACAAAAAAACACATGTAAAAAAAATTACGAAGTCGTGGGTCAAAATACTTTGCCAAGGGTCCTATGTCTTTGTTCACCGCACGGCAACAAGATGTTTTCTGATTCATACTACAAAATGATATATATGCCTTTTTAAGTACAAAAATATTTGTTAAACGTAATGTTTTGAAAAAACTTATTTTAATTAAAGGATAATTTTTTAAAATCAGTACTATAGTAAATATAAGTTTGTTATATAAAGTAAAATAATTAAAATTCACCTATAAGTTATAACCGATCATAATACATTTTAATTAAAGTTATAGATATACTGCAAATATTTAAATATATACGCTTATTTAGAAAAGGGTTTATTTGACGCCAAATAAGATTAAAATAAACAAATAATAATTACAATTAATTAATTAATAATTAAAATTGATTAATAAAAATTTATTAATCTATAAATAATATATCAATATTATAAAACTATTGATAAAATCAAACATCAATATTTCATATACTTTATTTATTTATATTTAATATGCTAATAATAAACTATTAATTAAATGTCAATATTAACCCTTTATTTAGATGTAAATTCAATTACTAGTTGGGCTAAGTCACTATAACCTAGTAATTTGTAAGACTTACTAAACGAAGTTCTGTGGTACTATGCTTCCAAAATACTATGCTATTTAGTATGTCAAACTATCTGCGTAGTAAGACAAACTTTTCTAACGTTCACTAAGCAGCGTAGATTCTCTAACTAGTTGGAATAGTAAACTTGACTATTCTTATAGTTGCAGGAAGCGGTTATTCAGTTAGCCCGACCATTCCTCTTTAACTATTTCTGTTTAGTAAGACTCACTACGCCTTTTTTCTCAGTGTAGTTATTATAAGTGTGAAAATGTTTTGGTCTAAAGCGTCTAAGAGTGTAAATAAAATATCGGAACTGTGCAACGAAAAAAATGTGTTCATTCTGTACCAAATAGTGTCTAAAATTAGGGATGATTCTGAAAGAAGTTGAATTTTTTGAATGCTTTTGATAGTCATAGGAAATTTAATAGACAGTTTTCTAAATTTTAGTGAACGAGTTTTATATATTGATGACAGTTTTCTAAATTTTAGCAAGCAACTCGTCATTGATTGTGACTCAAAGAATGTTATCCATTCAATGATTTTGTGTCCCGTCTCAAAGTAATATACTAGTCTATTAATGCTTGACGGACTTTTTCTTTCCGTGCACCGTCTCACAACTGGTGATATGCTGTGTCTCACACCTAGAAATTGGCGCTATTTTGAAAAAGGAAAATTAAATTATTTTCAACCGTAGATTGGAACAATGCAATATTGCATCACAAAATATAAGGAAAACACTAAAAGAAAATGCATTACATTTACCTTTTCCAATTAATTAACTTGGAAAAAAAGTACTTTGCATTTATTGAAAAAACGCTTTTTAGTCGATTATCACACACAGTGTTGGTATTTAACAAAAACAGTTAATATATCCGCTTCGGGGTACACGAAAAAGTTGGCTCATATAAAAAGAAAGGTTTTTATATAAACCAATCGGCTTTTTAATATTGCATGTTAAAAAAAATTGACTGTCTCACAACTGGAGGTGTCTCACAACTGGAGACTCTCCCCTAATATCGAACAATTTTTTTGACAATATATAGTTATCTGGTGAACTGAATTTCGTTGGAACATTTGTTTGAAAAAAATAAATTGATTAAAGTTACTTAAACTTTGAAGTTAAAATATTTTATATGCTTTTCATGATTAAAATATTATTTTTTAAGTAAGTCCTTAGAAACTTTTTTTTTTTTGGTAAATTAAGTCTTCCATAAAATGATAATTCAAAAACTTTTTAAAAAATATCCCATACTTTTTACATTTGCTTTACAAATTTTTACATTTTACTCTTGCCATTCTAGTAACCCAGAATCGGGTACTTTCTATTTTCTTCAGAAAAAATGATACTTATAAATTCTATTGAAAATTTGTTTTCCTTCTTATCAACATTTGTATGTTTTCATTTCATTTTTCGGATAAATACTAACAATTATTAAAAACACATAAGAATGGACATTAAAATATTTGAAATAATAATTATTTAAATCTTTTGAGTTTGAATTTTATTAAATTTATATGAGCTTAAAAAATGTTTGAGGGATTTCATGAAAAAATTAGGGGAGGGTAGGCTACATTGAACCGGGTTTTTTATAAAGTCTAAGAACTAATTAAATTTTACAAATTTTGATCAGGTTTTTGTATCAAAATAAAACTGAAGTACTCCTTTAGTTAATACACACGTTACAAACACAAATTATTATGAATCAATAATTTAATTTAATTTTTTTCTAGCCAGTTACACTTTTCTTATTTTGAAGAATGTGTGTCTACATTGAACCACCTGTAATAAAACACTACAATTTACTTCTAAAATAATATTTCCACTTACATATTGTAAAAAATCTTATTTTCCACTCAAAAAAATAAAATATTGTTGTTAAACAGTTATTATTTGTTAATATAGGATATTAATATATATTTCTATGTCAGATTTCGTAGCAGAAGTGACAGTTTAAGTTTATCTCGTTGACAATTGTGATGAAAGCATGTCTTCTAGTATTTTTCTTACTAATTAGTAGAGCAGACAACTTTACAACTCTTAAAATTAAAAATTCTTTGCTTTTTCGGGTGGTTCAATGATGCCGCACTCACTGTATACATATCACAATCACAACAAAAATTGTTTATTATAAATTTATGTAAGATTTAAAATTCTTTATCACATCGAAATATTGAAGTTGACACCCTAAGTGAAATAAATCACAAGCTTATTAATTTTTAAAACTTCCTATTTCAATAAAAAGATGTCATTATATTTCTACAACATTTTTTGTTTTGTACGTGAAAAACAGTTTTTTTTAATTTTTCTTTGTAAATAATAAACCTACGTGCCGTAAATTTTTGGATATAGTCTGTTTCGCTAAAACTAACTTATATATTAAATAAGAAAAAATTTCACTTAGTCATTTCTCAGAAAATTGAAGTGGTTCACTGTTGACGCTGGTTCAATGCGATGTAGCCTACTCTCCCGGGAGCCCCCCCTACATGTATCCCAAAAATATCCTCCAAAGCGGCGGTTTGGATAACCTACGGACATCTTAGAGACTTTTTTGGGATATCCTACATTTATTTTAGACATCCTGAGGATATCCTTTTGTTGTGAGGGAATAAATAAAGAAATGCAAATTGCAGTATAATTTAAACTATTTTTATGCTTTTACGTTAATTTTTAATTCTTAACTTAAATAATTAAATAAATCTTTATCTATATGTAATAAGTTGTAAAGTTATGTAAAAAATTAGACTAGATACATTAAAATTAATCATTCAAATTCAAGTAATAAAAATTTTAAAATTATGCATTAAAAAAGACAAGATGTAAGTAAATCAAGATGAAACCAAGTTAAATTCTCTTCAAAAAGTTAAGATACTGTAATTTCTCCGATTATATTACCGGAATTTAAATTCTCAAGAATTTAAGAATATACCATATCACATTTTTAAATGTTTATAGCTTAATAAATATCCACTAATTTTACAAAAAAATTCATACATTTACATTAGAAATGTTTATTTTTAATCCCAATAATTTAATATCTATTAAGATAATTTTTCATTTCCCTTAGGCATTTTGTAGCAATGTTGCACGGTAAGGTACATCATTACTAACGTTCCGGATAAATCAGCGATGAGTAGATCTTGAGGGCAGAAACGCAGTCGTAGAAGGGGGTCATCAACATTCGAGCACGTTCAATTTTTCACGTTGATTCTGTAAAGCATCTGTGAGGATAGTATTTAACCGTCATTCGTGCTAGAACGACCACAACATTCATTGCTTATAGAGGACTGTTTTATACGCGAAATATATTGACTTCTTAACGTATTCTGCACATTTTTATAGATTTTTTAAACATAGGATCTTTTTTTGTTCTAATATTTTTAGAATAATAATATGTTTTTATTAAATATGTGTGTGTGTTTTGTGTCTTTGGATTAGTAAATTTCACAGTGAGTTATTTTCTGGTTTAAACTAAAATTTTAAGTTTTTGGTTTGTTTCCTATATACGCTTTTGAAAACTTTTATTTAATAATCATCTTATTTGCATTATAATGTACGTCAGCGACAAATATTTATTTAAATCTAAAAATTTGACTTTAACTTTCGTAAATATAAATAATTATATATTTATATTTTATACATCTATATTAATATATTTTTTCCTACATTATTATTATTTCTACAATTATTTGTTAAATTTATATATTTAACTTACATTTCATTAAATTTAAATAATTTTGATTGCGGCAAGTTGGAAAATAGATAGAAATAATGTAGCTGTAAAAAATTCTTATGACAAAATCCTCATTAGTAACTTTCACCCTGACTCGCAGAATACCGAATGTTGTAATTATAAATAATAAAAATTGAAATTGCAACAATAAAATATAATAGTAAAAACATTAAAATTATATTTACACAAAAAAAATATTCTTGTTTTAATCGAATTCCACTTATTTCAATGCATATTTTCCTCTAGAATATGGCTCATAAAACTGTCCTCTTATTTTAAGAGGAATGTCCTCTACTTCAGAGTATTCCTCTTAAAATAAGAGGATATTCTTAAATCAAAAGGAAATTATCCTATTGAAAAAAGTCTAAAATAATGAAAATGAATAAATTATCTAATTTTTATTTTAGAGTTATATAAAATTTTTAAAATTGAATGGAATAAGATTTCGAGTTCCATAATATTCAAAATTGGTTGAGTATAAATATACTTAAATCATTTTTAATTTTAAAAAAATCAACTTTATCTATTTTTATAAATATTTTGTGCAAAAAATATAAACCATTAACGTAAAGAAGCATAACCTTAAATAATTCTAAAATATTATTTTCGTATGTATTTGATTTTTGGAAATGTGTAATTATAAATACTGAAAATAGGGGAGAGTGGGGCAAGACGGGGTAGCGGGTAAGACGGGGTACCGGCCTTATTTAACAAACGAATTAACCAATCGCGATTATATTTTACAAAATACTGCACCGAGACGATAGTTTCATGTTTACAAAACCTAAAAGCCATGAGAACAAATCTTTTATCTGTTTTACTAAAAAAAACTGTTTTTGACGATTTTCTTGTCATTTTTTCACTTTTTTTAGGAGGGGTTTATTACTTAATAATAACAGTTAATGAACTGTATAAATTTTTTTCTAACTGTCAAGGGTTACAGAAGAAGGGAAGCATATGTTTCTTTTTCTTTGTTGAATCGTAAATTGTAGTAATTAATCGTTTTATTCAATTTCGTAGGTGCGGGCAAGATGGGGTAGGGGAGAGTGGGGCAAGACGGAGTTCACAAATTAAGCAAAAAAAAAGAGAAATAAGAGAAGTTAAGAAAACTACTAAAATCAAGACTGAATAAAATAAGAGTGACCAAAAAGAAAAAAGCTTGTCAACCCATTAACGCCTGAAAGCTTTGAAATTTTGTGTTTAATTTAAGATATAATTTTATATATTAAACATGCTCCCTAAAAATAACTGAAGCGTTTCTTTATGTTTTCGGGGTCGCTCTACAAGATTCCATGCTCACACTGAGAGAAAAGAGGGAACACTGCGGTACATTTGGAGGTTGTGTGTGGCAATATAACGTTGGTTCTACTGCGTACTCTAAAAGGGGCTTGTAACGCGCCCCCGAGGGCGCGCTGCTGACTCTTTTCTCGGACCCCACGAGTCAAGTCAACAGCACACTCGCGAAAAAGTCAGCAGCGCGCTCTCGGGGGCGCGTTACACGCCCCTTTAGAGAACGCAGTAGAACCAACTGTTTGCCATACACAACCTCCAAATGTACCGCAGTGTTCCCTCTTTTCTCTCAGTGCAGATTTTAAATTTATCGCATAGAAAATTAAATATGGCGAATTTTGTGCACCAAATTGCGAAAAAAATGAAATTTTTTTTTTCAAATAATTATTTCTTACTGAAAACATTTTTTTCAAATGAATACAAGTGTCACAAATTGGCACAAACTTATTAAACTTTCAAAATATGCAATAGCGGAAACAAAAAGAACAAAATGGCGGCTTCAAAATGGCGATAATTTGAGAAAAAATTAATTAATTTTTTTTATAGTGCACCGATTCAGGCAATAGCTATGAAATGTAATAGAACTTAGTGTTTATATGTTTTTGAGGTCTCTCATCACGAATATGTACTCGGATTTTCAAAATTCAAAATGGCGGATACAATATGGCCGACGAAAATTTTAAAAATTTACTCGATTCGCTTGAATTTTGTTACTCAGGGGTTTTTGGGGTCGCTGATTATGAATCTGCTATTGGATTTTCAAAATACAAAATGGCGGATCCAATATGGCCGATAAAAATGGTCTAAATCAATTCTAGTCGCTTGGAATTTGTAAAATGATGACCATCTATTTGCCGTCAGAATAAGGCAAATACAAATCAAATCTCTCAGAAGTACACAACGAAAAAATTGTAGGTCTAAATCTAATTGGCTTAGATAAATTGTTTCAACACTATCTTAGCATAAGACTTAATATTGCAAAACTTATAACCTGACATTGTTAATGAAACAATTTGAGATGACAGATAAGGAGTAGTTGACCAATATTATCGAATTTTAGCTTTAATATCATTAGAATAATTTAGAGAGTTGGTAAACGTCTTATTCTGACGGCAAATAGATGGTCATCATTTTACAAATTCCAAGCGACTAGAATTGATATAAACAATTTTTATCGGCCATATTGGATCCGCCATTTTGTATTTTGAAAATCCAATAGCAGATTCCTAATCAGCGACCCCAAAAACCCCTGAGTAACAAAATTCAAGCGAATCGAGTAAATTTTTAAAATTTTCGTCGGCCATATTGTATCCGCCATTTTGAATTTTGAAAATCCAATAGCAGATTCATAATCAGCGACCCCAAAAACCCCTGAGTAACAAAACTCAAGCGAATAGAGTGAATTTTTACAATGTTCGTCGGCCATATTGGATCCGCCATTTTGAATTTTGAAAATCCGATTGCAGATTCACAATCAGCAACCTCAAAAACCCCTGAGTAACAAAATTCAAGCGAATCGAGTAAATTTTTAAAATTTTCGGCGGCCATATTGTATCCGCCATTTTGAATTTTTAAAATCCGAGTACATATTCGTGATAAGAGACCTCAAAAACATATAAACACTAAGTTCTATTACATTTCATAGCTATTGCCTGAATCGGTACACTATAAAAAAAATTAATTAATTTTTTCTCAAATTATCGCCATTTTGAAGCCGCCATTTTGTTTTTTTGTTTCCGCTATTGCATATTTTGAAAGTTTAATAAGTTTGTGCCAATTTGTGACACTTGTATTCATTTGAAAAAAATGTTTTCAGTAAGAAATAATTATTTGAAAAAAAAAATTTCATTTTTTTCGCAATTTGGTGCACAAAATTCGCCATATTTAATTTTCTATGCGATAAATTTAAAATCTGAGCATGGAATCTTGTAGAGCGACCCCGAAAACATAAAGAAACGCTTCAGTTATTTTTAGGGAGCATGTTTAATATATAAAATTATATCTTAAATGAAACACAAAATTTCAAAGGTTTCAGGCGTTAATGGGTTAAATCATCAATTAGCGATGGTAAAGTGGAAAATACACCTTGTCTCTATTGTAATGATTATTATTTAGACTTAAATGAAGGCTGGGCTGCTTTTTTTGTCTGCGGCCAATGGGCTCACTGCAGTTATGTATGAAGATAAAGATGCAACCTTTACTTGTGAAATTTGTCGACAGAAATAGGTTGCTTTCTTGAGTACCCCATCTTACCCCTACGGGTACCCCATCTTACCCGCCGGTGGGGCAAGATGGGGAGATTTGCAATTTTTTCAATATTATTAATTATAGGCTTTTTAAGAAACGGATGGCCTTTGTACGCCTTTTCTACGAAAGACTGATTCCCAAAGATGATAATTAAAAATAATAATAAAGTATATATTCGATAATTTTCGTTTTTTTGCGCTTTAAACCTTAAGTACCCCGTCTTGCCCCACTCTCCCCTATTGCATTTTAAAAAATTAGATGCTAATTTTCATTTATTTGAAAGATTTGTTTATTTAAGTCGAAAAAAGTCTCAATTTTCTTACTTTCCCTGAAAAAAACTTTTTTATTGCCATTTCCCTGACTTTACTGACAAAAATTTTGTTTCCCTGACTATGGTGTTAATATAACAATATAATAATTATAAAAAAAAAAAAGTGTTTAATTAAATTTTGGTTTATTTATTATTTTAATCATTAATCATTTTTGTAATTTCTTGCTTTAAAATATGTTTAAAAATAAGCTTTATTACTTTTTAACATGCAGGAGTAACATTTAAAAATAGGGGAGAGTGGGGCAAGACGGAGTACCGGCCTTATTTAACAAACGAATTAACCAATCGCGATTATATTTTACATACTACTGCACCGAGACGATAGTATCTTGTTTATAAAACCTAAAAGTCATGAGAACAAATCTTTTATCTGTTTTCCTAAAAAAACTGTTTTCGACGATTTTCTTGTCATTTTTCACTTTTTTTAGGAGGTGTTTATTATTTAATAATAACAGTTAATGAACTGTATAAATTTTTTTCTAACTGGCAAGGGTTACAGAAGAAGGGAAGCATATGTTTTTTTTTCCTTGTCGAATCGTAAATTGTAGTAATTAATCGTTTTATTCAATTTCGTAGGTGCGGGCAAGATGGGGTAGGGGAGAGTGGGGCAAGACGGGGTTCACAAATTAAGCAAAAAAAGAGAAATAAGAGAAGTTAAGAAAACTACTAAAATCAAGACTGAATAAAATAAGAGTGACCAAAAAGAAAAAAGCTTGTCATATTAAATCATCAATTGGCGATGGTAAAGTGGAAAATACACCTTGTCTCTATTGTAATGGTTATTATTTAGACTCAAATGAAGGCTGGGCTGCTTTTTTTGTCTGCGGCCAATGGGCTCACTGCAGTTA